ATGTAGTTGGATATCTAGTTGGCAAGACTTGATCACTGATTGAATGTGGGGGAAGCTGAGGAGAGAGGTGAAGCTAACTCTGAGCACACCTGAGTGACAACCTGGAGGTTCCTGGATATACGAGGGGGCAGACAATGCCCTCTGCCTATTTCTACATCCTTGGCTAGTTCCACATCTTCCCTGCCTGACCCAGCCTCTCCCATTCCTGCTTATCTTTGGAAACCCTGCTCCAGCCCATGTTCACAGACAGGAGAAGGCTGGATCCCTTCCCAGAGACACTGGAAGCACCTTCCCAACCTGTCTGCATAGCCTCCTTTTCTTGTGTGACTCTCATTGTATGGTGTCATGATCCCAGGAGTTTCATTCCTAGATGCTCATGTGCATAAATTCCTTCCTCAAGGACAAGACCTGGGTCTTACCATTCTGTTGACCTGCAGGAGAGTCTGCAAAAGCATAAATGAAACATGGACTAGACCAAGGGTAGCAGATAGATGGGTTTCATCCCAGCTGATTACGGCGGGCTGCCTGGAGTGCTGTGTAGAGGGCTCTGAGGCTGCATCCAAGCTTAGCTGCAAAGAATGCTGTGATCTATTAGTGGTATCTGGCAAGGCACAAGAGGGAAGAGTAGCAGTATGTGTGTCACTTATGTGCAGTCTCTGGATGACAAGAATCTGTGTGGTTTTGACAATACATAGTTGTTCTCAGGAAAAGTGAAAGATGATGTCCAAGTGTCTGGTGTGGCCAAGGGTAGAAACAGATTAGAAATAACTTTTAAAGAGCCACTTTTTAAAGTGGCTTTAAAAGAACTATAGACACAGGCTATCCTCAGCATTGAATTTCAACCTTCATACCACTCTCCGCTTGTGTGCCTTACATAATGATGCCCCTAAACCACCTTTTGTACCCTGACTCGAGGTTCTCAAACCTCAGCTTACGAATGATTTTTTCTGCGCTAATGCCTGCCAGCCAGTGGTTTCATTTTGGCAGCCTAACTCTTTGTCTGCACTGTGATCTTTGGGCAATTGATTTGAATATTTTATTTCCCTTGGTTTTATTTCCCTTGGTTTGTGGTTTTATAAAAGAAGTGTAAAAATGAAGGTGTGGATACCAGTGGAGGGAATGTAGTTCTCCTGAATATAATGTAGAAGCAGAGCATCGATTCAGAACTCTAAACGATGGAATTGCTTCAAAATTATCCTCAGCCACCTAATAAACCATGTCACTGTAGTAATTGAGGAGCAGTCTTCTGTACATGGTGCCTGGGCACAGTGAGGGTACATTTGGCCAGGTTGTAAGTGACCCTCTTAATGACACCCCACTGGTTCAGTCCACCCAATATAGACTGGACATAGCATAACCAGCAAGTGTAGTCACATCGAAGTACTCCCACAGGTGAAGCACAAATTTTTATGATTTTTGAGTTGTTCTTATGTTTTACACGGTAATGTTATTTTCCTTAAATTTTGTGAGCATTGGGAATTAAGATAGCTGAGTTCCAAATATTATGTATCTGGAACAGGTCAGCTCTTGGACATTCTGGATGATTAATCTTCTACCACACAATACAGGCAAAAGTGGAAACTACTAAATGAAAGCGATGGGTTTTTAGCCTCACCCTGATGTTTTACAGACTTAAGCTGATTGGCTTCGGGAGGGGGTGGTAATTTTGAAGGAAATGAATCAAGAATGTATGTGAAATGCCAAAGATCTATCATAGATGCTGCATGCAAAGTTAAGTGAAACTGGAGATTTTATAGCACTTTTAGCTCTCTGCAGAAACCATCAAGCCTTATTGATTACTGGCCTCTTATTTTTATTAATATTAATATTGATTTCTGCTCTTTTATAATATATTTGACCTGCACCTTTTCTGAATTACATTACATATGATAGCAAGAGATTGTGTCGATTATGTGACGTGTCAATTGAGCTGATGGTTGATTTGGAAACAGGGATGCAGAAATTGGTGGTGCGGGGGCCATGAGTGGGCTGGGGAGGTTGCCATCATTGTAGAATAGAGACATTTTCTGAATAAAATAATCCAGCCTTTCAGGGTGTGTCCACAGGACCCACTGTCACCAATCTTTGCTGGTTCTAATTTCCCATTTTTGAGGACTGTGTTTAAAATCTCTGCTTTGTCACTTACAAACTGAATGACTTGACTTTTCTGAGAGCATCGATTCAGAACTCTAAACAATGGAATTGCTTCAAAATTATCCTCAGCCACCTAATAAACCGTGTCACTGTAGTAATTGAGGAGCAGTCTTCTGTACATGGTGCCTGGGCACAGTGAGGGTACATTTGGCCAGGTTGTAAGTGACCCTCTTAATGACTCCCCACTGGTTTAGTCCACCCAATATAGACTGCACATAGCATAACCAGCAAGCGTAGTCACATCAAAATGTGAAAATAACACAGGGTTTGCATGGCTGTCATGAGTGTTGCAGGTTGTGTACATAGGTAGCCTGGTGGTTGAATGTGTGACCTTGGAGTCAGGCAGGACTTGCTGTGACCCCCATGTCTGGTTGCCATTCATTCACTGGGCAATCCTGGGCAAGTTATGAGTAGCTTCTCTGACCTTTGTTATGTGTAAAAAGATAATCATGCCTACTCATTCATGTTGAATGCTTCGTGTGTGGAAGTGCTAAGTAAATGCAGCCATTGTTATTACCACGTATAAAGGGCTGGGCATGGAGTGGGGATGTCTTATTGCCTTCTTCCTTCCATCCCCATTTTCCAAGTCCTGAATTCCTCATCATCCTTTATGGGCTGACACCTCCTTGGAGAAGCCCTTCTGGACTGCTCTTGCAGTGAGGGACTCACTCTTTCTGTGCTCTTCCATTCTTTTTGCTCCCCTGATGACATAAGGCATGACCTCCTGTCTATAAGTCTTTCTTTCCTACCAACTGGAAGTTGCTTGAAGCAGAAATTTCCCTCCTGTGATTCAGTCTTATTTTTACCTTCCAGGACCTAGCTCAGTGCTTGGTGCATGAGAGTGTTTTGGTGAGCAAGTGAGTAGGTGGATGAGCTGAGTGAGTAAAGGAATATATGAATGAACAAATGGGTGGAGGACTGAAGCACTGGTCAAAGAAACCCTGGGTTGAACGGGAGTGAGAGGCTGACTTAGAAAGCTGGAAGTCTCAGGGCATAGATTCTAATATCTGGGAAATGGGAGTCTCTGAACCAAAGCTTGCATGCATATCTGCATCTGAGCACATTTGGAGGGAAGGTCCTTAGATTCTCACAAGTGTCCCTGGACCCCAAATGTCAACACGTTGCTGATCTGAACAGATGGAGAGGGCAGGCCCCACTGAGAGGACAGAACCAAGTGATTGGAGGAGTGAATGTGACAAAAGAGAGAAGTTAAAACTGGCAGGACACTGAGTCCTGCAGGGACCTCAATTAAGGGGTGTGGCCGGCACCACAGGCAGCCCCTGGGACAGGAACTCCTACAGTCCCTGCGGGCCTTGATGCCTCCTTCTAGGCAGCTCTTGTGCGAGGAAGCTCAGAGGAGGTTTGTGTCTTTGACTGTCTTGATTCCTATCCAGAATCCACTAGCTAAAAGGGTCTCTCGGGTTCATTGGGTCCAATCACCTGCCTCCAAATAGACTAAGCCCAAATGGTTCCAGGCAGGCCCTAGGTTTTTACTGCCCCCAAAGTCTTCTGCCCTTTTCTTCCTTTCCCTCCCCTCTTCTCACCTTCATTATTTTATCCTGTTCTATCCTATCCCATCCTATCCTATCCTATCCTATCCTATCCTATCCTATCCTATCCTATCCTATCCTATCCTATGCCATGCTATCCTAGCCTAGCCTAGCCTATGCTATCCTATGCCATGCTATGCTATCCTATAATATGCTCTGCTCTGCTCTGCTATGCTATCCTATCCTGTGCTATGTTATCCTATGCTACTCTATGTTGTCCTATGCTATGCTATGCTGCACTATCCTATGCTGTGCTATCCTATGCTATGCTATCCTATGTTATGCTATGCCATGCTATGCTATGCTATGCTATGCTATGCTATGCTATGCTATGCTATGCCATCCTATCCTATCGTACATTAGTCTAGCCTATACTATCCTGTGCTATCCTAGTCTCTCTTTAGCTATGAATACTTAACTTTCAGTAAGAGCTGTGGCTTTTAAAATATGAGTTTTGACCCAATAGTGAATTCTGAAGTGGATTTAGAACATCATGACCAGCTTATTAAAAAAAAGAATATGATACAAAATATTAGCATGTATCACACATGTGTTATTTTGTGAAACTTCCTTTTCAGCTCTACGTGTGGTGGATTGTGATGTATATTTCTTTCTGTGTTGTGGTCAAAAAAATTCAACAAGCATCACTCTCAAGCACATCACAGGCACTCAGTAGATAGCACCGAAAGACCTCGCCTTTGGTGAGGTATGAGGCAGGAGGACAGACCATGTTAGGGGTCACTTCTTGTTGCTGCACCAGGAAGCCCTTCTTTCCTTTACCCCCTCTGTGGCCCACTCCTATCACCCCTGCTTCCTTTTCCTTTTTAATTTTATTTATTGTGGTAAGAACACTTAACATGAGATCTGCTCTCTTAACGTATTTGTAAGTATCCAATGCATTGTTGTTGACTGTAGGGGCAATGCTGTCCAGCAGGTCTCTGGAGCTGATGCATCTCACTACTGAAACTTTACACCTCTTCATTAGTAATGCCCCATTTCACCCCTCCCAGTTCCCCACAACTGCCATCCCACTCTTTGATTCTGTGAATTTGACTCTTTTAGGTACCTCACATGAGTGGAGTCGTGCAGTATTTGTCCTTCTGTGACTGGCTTGTGCAGATGAATGGATCAAGCAAGTGTGGTCTATACACAGGGGGGAATGCTAGTCAGCCTTGGGAGACAGGGTCCTGGTGCAACATGCGACAACACGGATGCACCCAGAGGACGCTGTGCTGAGTGAAGTAAGCCCATTGCTCTCACCCTCTTCTTGATTCTCTCCTCTCCTCTTGTGCCCAGGTTGTATACGTGACCGCAACATTCCCCTACATCATGCTGCTGATCCTCCTGATACGAGGGGTCACGTTGCCCGGGGCCTCAGAGGGCATCAAGTTCTACTTGTACCCTGACCTCTCCCGGCTCTCCGACCCGCAGGTAAGAGTCGCTTGCTCAATGTGCAGCATCAACCACCACCACTGGGAAGCCTTCTGCAGAGCCCCTGCCACTGGCCACTGGGATTCAACAGCTGGTTGAACAGTGGAAAGCCTGTGAACTCTTTCCCAGAATAATTTTAAATGCATACATTTAATACGTAGGAAATCAAATATTTTAAAATACCATTACCGAAACATTTTAAACAGACCAATTTGTGACATGGGGATAGATGTACATTTTAAAATGAGGACATTACATAGCCAGATCCAGCAGCAAGTCTGACGACTACTGTGACTTTAAAGCAGCAGTGAGCATAAGTGACGTTTCAAGATAGCTATACCGTGATATGAAAACATCTGGAATTTCTATTGCTAACAGGACTGCAGTTTGTTGCCTGCATCTAAAATTGAAACAAATACTACATTTCAGTTAGAAGTTAACTAAAAATTAAAAAAACAACAAAAAAACATTTCTACCCCAAATCACAGATCTCTGCAGTAGTGCCTCTCGGTGAGAGAAACTGGGTCTTTGTTCGTGATTGATTTTCTTTGTGGGAGCAGCTCATAGTAAAAAAAAGAGTTGGAGAAACTGGCTAAGCTATCAGTTGTCTTTGGTAAGGCATTTGTTGTTCTGAGTGGTGAGTAGTAATTGTGCCTAAGGTTCTCTAAGTGGGCACATGGTGGTGTGCCCTGGACTATATTAAACAGATAAAACCAGAACATCTCACAAGCCCGGTGGTTCTCAACCTCAACCACATGTCAGAAGCTCTTGGGGAGCTTTTGAAAACGTGAATTCCCAGAGCACAACCCAGACCAATTAAAATGAACTCTCTGGTTGCAGGTGTCAGTATCTTTTAAAGGCCTCTAGGTCATTCTAGTGTGTGAAGTAACTTAATCAAAGACATTTGAGCGGGCGAGCAGGCACTAATTTTTCTATTAAAACACAGAACACATGGAATCAGTACAGTTTCCAAACAGGAAATGAGGCTTGCAGGAAATTTGAAGTCTGCGATCTGTGGCTTCCAGCCACCTCCTGTTAGGGGAGCTTGAGGGGGAAGCATTTGTTGGGGGGATGGTTAGTGCAGCTCAGAAGCCCCTCATCACGGTGGGCGGAGTGGGAGGTGAGCTCATTTTTGTCTCAGTTTGCCATGCCTTGCAGGGCCTTGAGGCTGAGGATACCACTAGGCACCTGCATGGCATTCTGAATTGCAGGCAGAATCCCTGGGAAGAAGGAAATTAGCTTCAAATGTTGGCTTTGCCAGTTCCTGATCTCTGATGGCAAAGGCTCAGTTGAAGGAGCAGTTTTGGAGAACATATTCTACAAACCACTGGTTGGTCTGTTTTTATGATGGCCATGCATTCTGCCTTGATCCAAGACAGATTTCCCCTTCTCTCCTCTGCTTATGGGCTTCTTTTTTCCTGGTAGTCATTCAAGAGCCACTGAGTGTCACCCAGAGTTTCCAGATCTGGCTGATCATCCGAATACCTCGGAACTGGTTAAAAATGCTGATTCCAGGCTCTACTCCTGGAGATCCAGTTGCAGTGGGTCTGTGATGGCACCTGGGCATCCGTATTACTAAGAACCCTCAGAGGCGATTCTTATAATCAAAAAAGTTTGGGAAAATCCAGGTGGCACCTAAAACTTCAGAGCCCTGCATGCACACACACACACACACACACACACAGAGAGAGAGAGAGAGAGAGAGAGAGAGAGAGAGAGAGAACGAACACAGAAGTGAGTCAGGCCAGGCCATTTTCTACCATCTCCTTCCTTTTAGGCCCTGGCCACCAGCCAGTATTAAGTAGTGGAGAGCACATTGGTCTGAGAGTTGGGACTTGGGTTCTCCTGGTTCTGCCATGGATCCTGAGTGACCGTGGACAAGTTCCTTCTCCCTTCCCTCTTTCTGGACCTCTGTTTCTCCACTGGTGACATGAAAGAGTTTTCAAAATGGATTTGGAGAGTCCCTGCTTTTCCATGAGCATAGGCTGGCAAACTCTGGCCTCTAGGCCACATCCAGCCCTCTGTCCATTTTTATAAATAATGTTTTATTGGAACACAGCCTGTTATTTGTTTACATATTATTGTCCATGGCTGTTCTAGCACTCAAAGGTAGAGTTGAGTAGTTGAGACAGAAACCCTGTGGACCTCTGTGTCGGGGGGTGGTCCCAAGATTACCTACATATTTGGTAATTTAGAAGGATTCACAGGACACAGAAGCAGTTATACTCATGGATGTGGTTTGTTTCTATCATCAGTAAGACAAAGACAGTCACCAGGCAGAATGTGGAGGAATCCATACACAGGTTTCTCACTTTCCCTCCCTCCTGCCTGAAGCAGGTATGCAGACTGTGTTCCTTCCTCCAGCAAGGAAATGCGGCAGCATGCGTGCAGGGTTTCTGCCCAGAGAAGCCTTCCTGCAATGCAGAGTCCAGGTTTTTAGTGAAGGTGTTTTATTGACTGCACAGGTACTCCCTGCCTCCATGATCAGCCACAACCCTCTGACTTCCAGACTGTCAGAGGAAACACAGGCATTTACCAGAAATCACATTGCTGTACAAATGGTCTAAGCAGGCAGCCTTTATGGGATTCAGTGTTCCAGGCATACAAAACAACCATGTCACTTAGTACCACAGGGAGCATCCTAAAAGCCCAATTCCCAGACACCAGGCAAGAGCCAACACTACAAATGGGCCCAACTTTGGAGCAACATTGGGCCTGCTCTGTTGACTCTTTCCTACAGGCCTGCAAAATCTCAAGTGTTTACTGCTTGGCTCTTTCTAGAAAAAGTTTGCTGACAGTGCACTGGAGTACCCTCAGGGGCGTGTGAGCAGGGGCTGATGGGCCCCACTCCACCTGACCCCCGACTCCGTCCTTGTTGCTCTCCACCCCTACTGCCACCAGCCTAGTCCGGGCCACCACCATCTCCCACGTGAAAACTGTAGCAGCCCCCTAACTGGTCATCCGGAAATGGCTCCTTGACCATCTAGGCCACTCGCCACCCAGCAACAGAGGGATCTTTTTGAGATGTAAATTCGATGGGCACCTCTTTTGCTTAAATCCCTCCTGGGATTCCCTGTGGTCTTTGGAACAAGATCCAAATGGTGGGGTCCCCACTGTCCTCTGTGAGCTGCCTCCTGGCTGCATTCCCTACCACTCTCCCCCTCTTTCAGCTCATTCCAGATATTGGCCTCCTCTCTGGGCCTCCAATAGACATGGCCTTTCTAACTGAGGGCCTTCACACATGCTGTTTCTCTGCTGGAAACACTCCTTCTTTCTTCCCCAGACCCGCCTTCCCCACCTTGGCCGAGCAAGCATCCACTCATTCTTTTTTTTTTTTTTTTTTTTTTTTTGAGATGGGGTCTTGTTCTGTCATCTAAGCTAGAGTGCAATGGTGTGATCTCGGCTCACTGCAACCTCCACCTCCCAGATTCTAGCAATTCTCCTCCTCAGCCTCCTGAGTAGCTGGGATTACAGGTGTGTGCCACCACACCCGGCTAATTTTTGTATTTTTTTTTTTTTTTTTTTTTTTAGTAGAGGTGGGGTTTTGCCATGTTGGCCAGGCTGGTCTTGAACTCCTGAGCTCGTGATCCACCCACCTCGGCCTTCCAAAGTGCTGGGATTACAGGTGTGATCCACCGTGCCCGGACCACCCATCCTTTAGGACTTAGTTTAAACATCACTTTCTCAGGCAAGTCTTTTCTGACTGCTCAACCATGCACCACCCCCCAGCACCCAATACTTATTTTCCAAAGCACCTACATATCCTATATATTTACAGTAAAATATTTGTGTATATATATAATTGTGTGTGATCTTTATTTGTTCAATGTCCATTTATTGTTGAACAGATATTTTCCGAGTGCCTACTCTGTGTCAGAGATTATTGTAGGCCTTGACAATTTTCCACAGGGTGGCCACTGGCTGAGATGGCAGCTTGGGAGCAAGGTCTGTATCTGCCTTTCCTACCATTGTATCCTTAGTCCCTGATGAGCTCAATGCCTGGTACACAGTAGGTGTTCCTTGAATGTTTGTTGAATGATAGGAATAAGGGCTATTTTCATTTTTCACGAGAAGGTTCTCTTTAACAAAAAGTCTAATGACCTCCAGATCACCAAATCCGTGAGCTGTAATGTTTTTTGATTCTCTATCAGTGATGGCTAGGAAGCGTGCGTGTGTGTTTGTGTGTGTCCCAAAAGCAAGTATGTCCCCAAAAAGCAACTGCTGATTTTCTGTGGCATAAATAAGGATAGCGACCCCAAGAGGGAAAGAAAAACAAAACCCCATGTATGTTGGTGATTTTTGGAAGCTGGGGTATGTTGTAGGAAGAAGCCCAATGTGGCCTGATTCCAACTGTCCCCATTTGTGGATACCCAGCCCATGAAGAAGCAGGAAGCACTGGTTTCCATTCCTGTTCTCCTGCAGTGGTGATATGACCTTAAGTAAGGCCCCTAGCCTCTAGGGGGCCTTGTCCCCTCCTCCCTCAGTCACACGTTGCACTTGCCTGCCCCAGCAGATGGCCTTGAAGGTGGAGTCATTTGATGGCCCAGTCATGGAGAAATGTTTTTTCTTTTCAATTATGTATGTATGTTAATAAGCATTAGGAATAAAACCAGGACATAAACCATATCAAAACCATGGCTTTATTGCTATTATTGCTAGAATGAAACTATATATATGATATGTATGATCTCATACACACACATATATACATACATACATATATATACAGGTTGAGTATCCCTAAACGCTCCAAAGTTTGAAACTTTCTGTGTGCTGACATGGCTCTCAAAGGAAATGCTTCAGTGAGCACTGGAGCTCATTGGACATATATATGCCATGTATACGATTAAAAGTGAGGCTAATTTAAAGGCAAATGTTTAAAAATTATTAAAACAAACATGGACATGACAAATGTAGTGCAGGTGGAAGGTGGCTGGCCAACATCTGAGGCACGGTGCTGTGGGGGTAGAGAAACATCCTAAGCTAGTCTTAGGACTTCC